GGGTTAAATATTATTCTCACAAGTCAGTTTCTCTTCACATGAGCCTAGTGCCGCTTATATAACTGCAGTATTGCTGCATCAGAGTGAAGTTTTTAACTTTTATAGCCTACATTGTGGATTAACATATTACTTTGCATTGTTTTCATTCAAGAATAATCAAAAACTCATTTGTTGTTTTATAGATAATCTGAATTCCTCAGTTATGTGGGTTATGTTCACCGTGAATTTGTTTGGCATGTTAGCAAACTCAGGTATTTTCAGATACATTCACAGCTAGTTGGTTTTGGTACAACAACAGCCCTTTTAGCCCTTTTTTATCAATCAAGGTGAAAGCATCCAAACCTTTTAGCTAAACTGTCAGGATGAAACATATCCAACATATCCTGTAATGAATTAGAGCTCTATCTGGATGGAGCACAAAATAAGAGAGAGAGAATAAATGGACTCGTGTGTCCATGTGTGTGTTTGTCAGGCACAAGACCCTGGAGCTCTGGAACAACTGTCCAAAAACATCAGTCGAGTGGGACTTACCAACCTCACACTGAACTACCTCAGAGTATGTTTCTATAACGAAAACACACATACAAACACAACCCACACACACACACTCGTTGGGTTTCCATGTTTTATGGGGACTTCCCATAATGGTTTTTATGTACAAACTGTATACCCTATCCCCTTACTGTAAATATACCTCTCACAGAAATCTTTCTGCATTCCTAGATTTTTTAAAATCTTCATTCTGTATAATTTATAAGCTGTTTTCCTCATGGGGACCAAAATGTCCCCACACGATCAAAAAATGACTGTATTACTATCCTTGTGAGGACATTTGGTCCCCATAATGTAGGAAATACCTGGTCCACACACACACAAGCCTCACACAAGTTATTTTAGTATCGCAGAGACACTATTATATTTTTTATTATTATTTTGAATTCATTTTTCATATTTCCCATTTTCATTGTAATTGTAGCACAAGTTTTAGTAATTTTGTTGAGTGTTTTTGTCATTTTAATTATTTTTTTATCATTATTATGTACCAAAAAAAAAACCTAAACGGTTATTTATGGTTTTAGTTTTAGTTAATTATAACTCTAGCTTCTACGTTCTTCATTAGATCTCGTTTCATGTCTCCTCTTAGCTTTCTTTCTCTCTTAAATACAGTCTGTTGTGAAAGATTAATATAGAAACACCAGCATTGTTTAGCTACTCTTTCCCCCCAGCGTTTAATTTCTTTCTGTTGTTCTCCTCTTAAGAGCTACACAATGTCATTAAATTTACAGTAGTTTGTACATTGTAAACATATTTCATATTCCTTATTAACATTTCAAAGTACTGAGCACAGGCTGTTAAGGGTTTTGTGATCTGCAGTAATTAATGGAGGCTTTGACCATGTGTTGTTATTTATGTGCTATTTTACTGCTCTTTTTAAAAAATAACTACCTCCTGCTGTTCTGTGACAATAATTCCTTGTTTTGACTCAACAATAATCTTATTATTCTTCTCAGGCAACTCTCTTTCATTGTTCCTCTCTTTTTCTCATCCTCTTTACTGTTTTGCATCCTCATTATTATTTACTGAAATGTTCTTAATGTTGTTTCTGAAAGACAGTAAGTACAGTGGTGTATTTTGACTGTTATTAATTCCTTTCATTTCAGTTGGACCCTCGCCCAGCTTCAAGACAGAAATATTTCCCTCTAATTCCAAAAAATGTATGTATGCTCTTCTATGGGCTTTCATTTTTTACAATTCCTCAAACATTCTAGTTAGGGTTTCTTCTACACTCATAACTCTAAATATTTAATAATAATAATAATAATAATAATAATAAAACATTTACTTAAACCTAAACAGGATCAATCGAATAAAAACGTCATATTGATGCTTCTAGAATGTTCTGCATTCAAAATTTAACCAACTGCAATGATGTAGTATTTGCATGCTGCATTGTGATTTGTCTTCTTTTTTGCATCTCTTTGCATACTGAATTGTGACTGATCTTGCAGTTCCTGCATATATTTAACCGTAATGCTATGTGCAAAACACTGCACTATGGCTGAATTCAAAATAGCATACTGAGTACTATGCTAGCCTAGTATGCTATTCCTAATTCATCCTATGTGAAACTTCCTGTGTGCAGCTGGCTAAAAAAACGAGACACATACTCAGTGTCATGACAACGGCAAAGCCATTTCATTTACTCAAAACTGAAGCCTTATATATAAAACGAACACTATTCTTTTGTTGCTGTGCAAGCAGTGGCATTTCCCTCAGGAAATGCAAATCAAATTGGTTCTGTTCTTCTCTATACATGCTAAAAATATCATCAGAATACCGTTATTTAGACCTCTACCACTCTCTTGTTGGTTTCATTTGCAGTAGTGATTAGTGTTTTAAAAGATACAGTATGCTATGTTTGCACCCATTTATTAATCCATCTATCCACCCATTTTTTTAACATGTTCTCTTTGTTTCACTGGTTTTCAACATGGAATGCAATTCATGGAATACAATGCTGATTCAGTTTGCATTATGCTGCTTTCATGTTTTGATTGACAGCAGAGCCAACCAAACCAGCAGCAAAGAGACGGAGGAGGAGGAACTCAGCTGGTAGCGCGTCCAATAGCAGCACAGGAAACAGCAAGAAGCGCAGCCCAGCCAATAACTTCAGCCTACCATCACAGGTACATCACATCGACATATATGTTTACCCTAAAGCTGTGTTCAGAATGGAGATATACCATACTACCGTACTACTCTTAGTATTGCTGAAGTATATAGTATGTATACTGTGGGCAGTATGCTAATTTTCTGCATGCACAAATTAAAATGTGCAACAGTGCTTGCTGTTGTCGAATACTATATCCCACAATGCAATGTGTTCGAATTATTTTAACCTTTATTAAACCTCTTCAAGTAAGAAACAGGTATTATCATTGTTAAACACACCTCCAATAAATTAAAGCAGCATACACTGAAAGAAAAAAATATAATTAAAGAAATAAATAACAGACAAACACAAATAACAACAAAATAACTGAGACTTTTTATCTCACAATTACAACTTTGTTTGTCTCAATTCTGACTTTTTTTTCAGAATTCCAATCATTTTTAAATGCCACAAAAATTGGACCAACCTCCATTTCCAGTGTTATGTATAAAGTAATATTAGTTGCAATCTTGAACTCTTTTGACAGGTTTAATTGGAGTTGATAACTGGACAGCATTCACTGAATAAAAAGTGAAGAAATTACATGACAATTGTAGACTGTAAAAAAATGCAAACTGTAAAATTGAATACATACCGCACAGTAATCAGTACATAGTATTCCATTCCGAACATACTGTAGACGCAGTCACCTACGCACTTGCAGGGAAGCAGTGGTCCACACTGAAAAGATCATATAGGAGAGATATACTAAAATTGATTTATGGAGAATGTCTGGATGTCTGTACATATATGTGCATGTGTGTGAGTGTGTGTAAAGAAATAACAGAGCAGTATAGAGAGGGAAAGACAGAGAGAGCAGCTTAGTAAATTAACCCATCTTATTTATTTCATATTGTAATATTTCTATGCAATGTATTATCAAATCAATACCTGAATTACATTGTTTTATTGTTTATAGTAAGATAAATAATTATAGTAAGAATCAGTTTCCAGTGTGATTGTAATTTGTAATGTTAGAGGAATTTTTTAAATATGTAGTCATTTGTCTACTCGGATTAATTTGTTTGTAATTGAGACTAATTAGCCGTAATTGATTTGATGATAATTAGTATTGTCCGTCTCTGGTCCCCAGCCTAAACGTGTTGCCGGGGAAACGAGGGGTGGCGGGTGGCTGGAGGCGGAGCTTAGGTAGGTGAGTGACACATGCAGACAGTTATCACGCAGCATGTGCTGTCTTAACGAGCTACTTAGCAATGCAGATTTGCTTAATTAGCACATATGTTGTTATTTAGGTGTTTTTTATCTGAAAAAAGATCTAATTAAAGTCTAAAGAGCTAGTGTCTGGAGACGAGTTTGTGTGCATGTGTGTGTAGTATGACTGCGTATTTAACAAAGCTTGTGGGTATGCCACATTAAACTATTTATGTCAAAATATTCCTTATTATCAGAGCTGGGTAGATTACTTACAAATTGTAATCCGTTACTGATTCCAAATGATATGACAAAAATTGTAGTTAGTAATGTAATTCATTACATTAGACATTTCAGGTGCTTTTAGATTACTTTTGATGTAACTTGTTTTTCACATGGATTTAAATAGGATAATCTTGTACCATATTGATATAAAAACACAAAAGTGTACATACAAAATACAAAAGAAAATATAATCCGTTCGTGGCAATTAACAACATAAAGTGCATTAAACATTACATTACTTAAGGTTTCCCAAACTGGGGTTCATAAAGGTACTGCAGGGGGTTCGTGAGTTTAATGAAAAGCTAATCATTAATTAAATATTAAATAAATCATTTTAAAATAACAGAAAACAAACAAAAAAAAGAATTGTTTTATTTGTTTACCTGTATGTCATGTGAGCATTAACCAATGTCAGAGAACCGTGAACATACAAATGTGATACTTCATTATTGAATATTTATTTTTAAAAATCAGGGGTACTTCAATTAAATATATTAGGTGAAAGAAGTTCAGATGACAAAAAAATTAGGGAATGCCTGCATTACATGTAAATTAGAAATAATGTGAATTTGTGCATTTTAATGTGTTTGAAAGACAAAAGCCTTCCAAAGTCAAAGCAATACATTATTAAATAACCCTCTGAGTGATAATGCAAATAAAAATTAACATGTTCATTAGTAGTCGATTTAATGTTGAAACACCTGAAATTATTTTTGTAAATCCAGTGGTCAAATGCTGTGTAGCCACCCGACTAATGAGTAGTCTTTGTGTGAATGTCCACAAAACTGGAAGACTGTATATATATAAGCGGTATAGGCTACTTTAGAAAGGAACATTTAAAAGATGAAAAAGAGGAATTAGGGAGAATCAATAAATTATGAATAATGTGTGAATAATCATGTAATCAGTAAAAAAGTAACTGTAGTCTGATCACGAGTATTTTAAAATGTAATTTAATTTAATTACAAGTATACTTAATTTTTGAAATATGATTACATAATCCAGATTACATGTAATCAATATCTACCCAGCTCTGCTTATTATGCACATCTTTTTTTATTTAATTTTGCACATTCTCTACTGTATGCTTGCATTAACTATATTACAAGTTCAGGTTTTGGAAAATAACAGCCATAAATTATTCTGCTTCTGTCATTCTTCTCTCTCTTTCTACTCCCCCGCCATTCTCTCTCTCACTCGACCCCCCTCTGTTTACGTCAACACTCTCTCTCTCTCTCTCTCTCTCTCTCTGGCTGTAGGATGTGATGGTGGTAGGGGAGCCCTCTCTAATGGGAGGGGAGTTGGGTGACGTGGACGAGCGTTTGATCACACGCCTCAAGAACGAACAGTACGACCCCATCAACGGTCTCCATGATGACGGTCTCCATGACTACACCAACTCACCGACACTTGGAAACGGCAGCTCCTGAAATGGTCAGCACCCTAGCAACCAAGACAGTAAGCCTGATACCATGGCAATGCAGCAGTTGGAGTAATGTGATCTGACACTGGGTAGCTATGGCAACGGTGCTGTCAAGGGATGGGGGTATTTTCAACTGTAGAGGAGAAATTGCAGGAGAGAAGGTGTGTGTACGCGCGTGTGTGTGTGTGCATGCTAGCGTTTATGTTGGTGTGACACGGTATTCCATACTTGAGACATACAGCTTCAACCATTTAGTTTAAGTATTCCGAAAAAAATAAAAGATACTGCAAGCCTTGTAAATATACAGATCTATCAATTCTCAGTAGTTGGTGCAATGTTGAAATGCTGAGAAAACACTTCTGATTTTTGTAAATCCAGTGGTCAAATGCTGCGTGGCATCCCAATTTTCTATGTAATTATAGCCACCTGATTAATGGTCTTTATGTGAATGTCCACAAAACTGGAAGTCTTTCTGAGTGTATATAAGCGATAGGCTACTTTAGAAAGGAACATTTAAAAGATGAAAAAGAGGAATTAGGGAGAATCAATAAATTATGAATAATGTGTGAATAATCATGTAATCAGTAAAAAAGTAACTGTAGTCTGATCACGAGTATTTTAAAATGTAATTTAATTTAATTACAAGTATACTTAATTTTTGAAATATGATTACATAATCCAGATTACATGTAATCAATATCTACCCAGCTCTGCTTATTATGCACATCTTTTTTTATTTAATTTTGCACATTCTCTACTGTATGCTTGCATTAACTATATTACAAGTTCAGGTTTTGGAAAATAACAGCCATAAATTATTCTGCTTCTGTCATTCTTCTCTCTCTTTCTACTCCCCCGCCATTCTCTCTCTCACTCGACCCCCCTCTGTTTACGTCAACACTCTCTCTCTCTCTCTCTCTCTCTCTCTCTCGCTGTCTCTCTCTCTCTCTCTCTCGCTGTAGGATGTGATGGTGGTAGGGGAGCCCTCTCTAATGGGAGGGGAGTTGGGTGACGTGGACGAGCGTTTGATCACACGCCTCAAGAACGAACAGTACGACCCCATCAACGGTCTCCATGATGACGGTCTCCATGACTACACCAACTCACCGACACTTGGAAACGGCAGCTCCTGAAATGGTCAGCACCCTAGCAACCAAGACAGTAAGCCTGATACCATGGCAATGCAGCAGTTGGAGTAATGTGATCTGACACTGGGTAGCTATGGCAACGGTGCTGTCAAGGGATGGGGGTATTTTCAACTGTAGAGGAGAAATTGCAGGAGAGAAGGTGTGTGTACGCGCGTGTGTGTGTGTGCATGCTAGCGTTTATGTTGGTGTGACACGGTATTCCATACTTGAGACATACAGCTTCAACCATTTAGTTTAAGTATTCCGAAAAAAATAAAAGATACTGCAAGCCTTGTAAATATACAGATCTATCAATTCATTTCATATCAGAATTTTTCAGCCCTTTTTTAAAGCTCAGTGGATGTCTCGGCTTCATTCTGTACCGTACTGTTTGGTTTCGCTACAACAACCAGATGAAAAAAGTCCCATTGTGAACGCTATAGTGTTTTGAGCATAGATGCAGATATCTTTATTGCTCTAAATTTTAATGCATATTGTAAAACACATGCAGATTTGTGCTGTTAGTTGTGTATTTTATGTATGGTTTTCAATAATTTGCATTAATAAAATGTGTTTGGTTATGATACCAGACTCTGTGTGTTTGGTTATTGATATCAATTGTAATAAAAAAGCATAATCGAGAACACAGAGTGATTTTCGTTGTTATAATCTAAATAAATAAATACATTGCAAAGCTATAGGCCTATGTTACTTTAACTCCATGATGTTAGTGCGAAAATAATCTCTGAATCTTTTCCCCCCTCTAGTGGTCAAAGAAACGTGGTACAAATTCACTGTATGATAGTTCATCTAAAACTGAAAATTCTGTCATTTATTCATCCCTATGCTGTTCCAAACGTATGACGTTCTTCTGTAACATAAAAATATATTTTTAGGAATGTAATCAAACAGTATTGGTGACCACTGACCACTGACTTCCAAAAACAAACAAACAAAAATACTGGGGCATTTATCAAAAGAAAGTCACATAGATTCAGAAAGAGGTCAGAATCAGAATCAGAATTAGCTTTATTCGCCAGGTGTGCAAACACACGAGGAATTTGTTGTGGTTTTTTAAGGTGCTCCTGGTACATACATACATGCATACATACATACATACATACATACACATCTGACATGAGAACAGAAAAAACAAAACAAAAAAACATTGAAATAGTAAAACTTAACAATAAATGTGTATGAATCCGGAACAGGAGAAGAGCAGTGGGGAGAGAACGCAGCCCTGAGGAGCTCCGGTGCTGATGGTGCAGGTGTTGGATGTGAGTTTTCCCAGCCTCACTAGCTGCTGCCTGTCTGTCAGAAAGCTGGTGATCCATTGACAGATGAAGGTGGGCACAGAGAGCTGGGTCAGTTTATTCTGAAGGGTGTCCGGGATGATGGTGTTGAAAGCGGAGCTGAAGTCCACAAACAAGATCCTTGCACAAGTCCCTGGTTTGTCCAGATGTTGGAGGATGTAGGTGAGGGTGAATAAATAATGACATCATTTTCATTTTTGGGTGAATTTCCCTTTTAACATTTGTGAATTTCTATTATATTATGTATTCTTATTTTGACGATGAGAAGTTGCTTTTCTGTTCTGGCTGTTTCGATCAGCTGTGCTCGATCTGTTCTTTTTGTTGTTGTGTGAGAATATCCATATTTTAATGTTTCTATATTTCTTAATGTTTCTATCACTTAAGAACTGTCAAAACAGATATAAGAAGAATAAAACCATTAAACATATTTTAGAGGGGTTGCTAGCATGTGTGTGATATTTACCAGCTGCATTATGGGAATTGTAGTCATGTTTAGTGACGTATGCCGTGACGCCTGAATGTTGTGTCTGCGGGGAAGATGGCGGACTCAGTAGCGGCTGGTCTTGCGGACGAAAACGAGACTGAAAATGAGAAGGAGAAGGAGAAACGACTCTTCAGCGGCGTCAAAAAGACGGAGAAACAAGCCGCTGCGTCAGACCTTACAGAAACGCTGGGATTTTACGAGAGGAAGGCGAAATGCAAAGAGAGAAAGAGCAATGTGTCAGGTAAGAGTGACAGACAGCGGCTCTGTGCGCTGCAAGCACTGTTTTAACCCTAGTGACTGAGCTGTCTAGACAGCACGTATGGGCATCATAACACACACGTTATGATGGTCTTGGAAAGCAGTGTTTGATATAAACGTTAGAACGCGCCAAAATACCGTGTAGTTAGGTGGGCAGCTCACTACCATGCTCGTTAAATACAGACACACACATAGAGCTCAATGCATCAATACTGTCTGAAGCATCATCAGTCACTAGAGCTTATATCAGATAGTTCAGCATCTCGGTTTATTTATGGTACCACAAATACCAGTGTGGCTCATGTGACACATTCAGCCTCTTGTATAATGAGACTAACTTTAGAAGCTTGAGGATCAAGACAGCTGATCAGGTGTGAAGATGTAAATAAAGACCAGAGCTAACGTTACATCAACTTCGTTCCCGAAGTCATCACCATCATTATGCGTTTGCAGTGGCGTTTATTCAACAAATGAAGGGAAATTATGTCTTATAAGTGAGAATAAAGCTGGTGTCATAGATCTGTTTACACGAAGTTGCTTAGGAACTGTAACTATAATTATTAACATTGTGTAATAAATGCAATAATTACAGATAATGTTTACATGCATATTTATAGATATCATATTCATATATGAATGTGCATGAATCACTGGTATGTTAATGGGCTATTAATGCAATTTAGTAAAAAGCAGGGTTCCTGCAGGAAAAAAAATGTGGGTTACACTTTATATTAGGTGTCTTTTACTGCTATGTTCTTATGTCATACAAATAAATAAAATAAAATATATTAGGTGCAATGTACATATTGTGTTCAATTTCATGTTGTATTGCAGAACACTTTTGCTGCTGTTGAGGTAACAAACAATAAATGTTAGGGACAGGTTTTATGGTATAGTTAAGTTAGGAGTTGGGTCAACAGCGTAATTATAGATATAATTAAATTGGGGTTTGCAAACCCCTGGGATTCATGAGGAAACTGCAGGCTAGGGTGTTGTGAATAAATGAAAAGCTGCTAATTATAGCATGTAAATGTAAAATAAGTTATTTTTAATAGAAAAAATCTAAATCAAAACATTTTAGTTGTTTACCTGCATGTCATGTGACCATAAATCAACATCCAAGAATCATGAACATGCAAATATGTTGTTAAATTATTTAAATATTAACTTAAAATCTCAAGGGATACTTCCAAGTAAATATATTCATATATATATATATTATATATATATATATATATAAATAAATAAATAATATATATTATAAATAAAAAATATATATACTTCAAGTTAGTATTATTATTATTATTATTATTATTATTATATTTTATGTTTTATATAATTTTTTATTTTTTAGCCAAAAAAGGGGTTTTGGCTGTCAGTTTATCCAAGCTACCTCATTTTAAATACACATAATATATGAAACCGAGGGCCTCTTTTCTCTGTTCTTTTGACTTTTGCTAAGGTCTTCTTGTCACAAGCTTTTAGAGGTTGTCATGAAGACATGCTCTTTGGATGATACATTTAGTCACTTTGTCATACAACCCAGTTATAAGACACTTGCACACACAAGAGAAGCTGTTATCTCTTTAGCTCTCTCGCTCTTTCTGTCCACTCTCTGTGTTTGTTTTCCCATTTAGTGTGTTCATCCTCAAGTTTATCCTTCTCTATTACTGTTATAAATAGAAAGTAATGTGTGTGTTGGCCACAGAACTCATTCACAATGTGTGCTGTTCATCTGTCTTGCCCTTATCACAACACATTTGGCCTTAGGTCAACATAAACATGCCCTAAAAACAGTCCAGTACTTTCTGTTCTGCTTAAATAGAACATTTATGTCACTGATCTTCTCTGCTCTGCTGTAAGTGTGTTACCAGTGTGTACTATCACATAACAGCTGTGTCAACTGTGTTCCTTCCTAGTCAAAGCTTTTACTGCTTTAATATTATAAACATAATGCAAAGAAAATTTGCTTATTGGGCCTTTGTGAGAAGATTGCTTAAATTAGTTCTTAGGTTTGTACAATGATCTAGAAAATCTGGCATTGAAATTTTATCTTTAAACAAAGTTTAAAGTTTTGAAAAATGTAAAATAAAGAATGATTCATTATTTAAATGAACACCCATTTTATTTTCCGTTTTGCTTTTTGACCTTTCTACATTATTGCAGATTGTAAAAGACAAATGTCGTTTAAAACACTTAATTATTTTGCTGGTACAATAAAAACATCATGAGTACTAAATAAACATTCAAATTAAAACAGGCAAAGTTTTAAAATAGAGCACAGTTCAAAGTATTTTGCTAATTTGCTTGTTTTAATGAGCAAATTATCTAAAATTTAAAGTATCTTATATTGGAAAACGAAATTCTAAAATCCTAAATAAGTATTTATTACAGTATTTTCACAAGAGGAAACTTCTGAAACCCACTTTAGGTTACCCCTGTAACTCTCTGTATTTTATAATGGTACATGTTTATTTGCTGTGTGCATATGAAAGAAATGAACAGCAGTTAATGCTGGTACACTCGTTTATTCAACCTCTTTTTTCACACATGCAGGTTTTGAGCTTCCATCCTTTACATGTCTGTGTTTACAGGATAGTGCTAAATAATGAGTAAAATGGTTTCATTGTCTTGGACTACACATTCATGTGTGTGTTTATTTGTGTGCAGATCTCTCTCTTGTGAGGTTTATTAGTGCTGAGTTGACTAGAGGATATTTTCTGGAACACAATGAGGCCAAATACACTGAGCGGAGAGAGAGGGTCTATACCTGCCTGCGTATTCCAAAAGAACTGGAGAAGGTACCAAACACAAATGCATAGTCCATACACGCTTACATGCACTAATCTCTTCTGTACAGTATCCTTTATTACTCTGTGCATTAAACTTGATGTTTGATTTATCTGCCACCAAACAGAAATGCAAAAATAATGATACATGTATGTATGTGTCAGGGTTCTTAAATGGATAGTTCATCCAATAATAATACCCAGTTGTCCCAAACCTAGAAGTTCTTTCTTCTGTTAAACATAAAATAAGATATTTTGAAGAATGTTGGTAACCAAACAGTTGCTGGTAGCCATTGACTGGCATAATATGGAATAAAAAAAGTACTATATAAGTTAATGGCTACTAGCAACTGTTAAGTTACCAATGGCAAGTTTTATCTACTACTTTTATTAAACTTAATGGTCCTTTTTTAGTAATTTTGGAGCCATTGAAGTAAGTTGTACCACATACCACATCCAGGACATCACTGGTCTCTCTTTTTCTCTCTGTAGCTGATGATGTTTGGGTTTTTCCTGTGTCTGGATGTGTTTCTGTACGTGTTCACTCTGCTGCCCCTCAGAGTGCTGCTGGCCCTGATCAGACTGCTGACACTGCCCTGCTGCGGCCTCAGGTAATACACCTGCTGTTCTCAGGATATGCGTGGTGGAATATTACCAAAAGTAGTACTTTCATAATATTCTGATAATCTAACAGGTTGAAACATCTGAGCTGTCCAACTTTTTCTTTCAGTGTTATTACATACAAATACCCACACACCCTTAAGCCCAAAATGATTGTGCATATAGCTGCTGTTCACTGTATATTCTTCTGCCTGCAGGGCTAGTATATGCCCCTACTGCAAAAAGAGCAGGTATGCAGAAAAAAACGACTGCAGCTGCTTTAAACATACACATCCGTGCTGGTATGATTGCAGCGGCTGTGTTCAAACACACACACACACACTAGGCTTCAGTTGCCATAGCTGTCTTAATTTTGCACTGTTGTGCTTTGATTTCATCCTGGACTACTAAAATCATCTGAGATCATTCCCAGAATTCTCCTGTTCTTCTTTCAGTGTTCAGGGTGTACTTGCATGATCGGTCACAGGATGGCAGTGTGGTCATGTTCAACAAGTGAATGCTGTGATAGGAGGAGAAACAATACTTAATGCAATATAATAATAATGCAGTATATCGTAAATAGCATCTGATAATGAAACTTCAGTAAATTGCATTCAGTGCATGCATTACAATACCTAATGAATTATACGTCATTTCTTGTACAAAATATAATTGGCAGAAGCCAATTATGTTTAAAGGAATGTAGATTGTGTTTACAGTTAGAGTAAATAGTTGCACATACTGTTCGCACCCCAGTGTAAATACTAACACTGAGTGCATTTTGTTTAGTAACAAGCACTTAATAGTTGTATATTAAAATACACTGTCATTCAAAAGTTTGGGGTCAATAAGATTTTAGATTTTTCCTTAAAAAGGTACTCTCATGCTCGCCAAGGCTGCATTTATTTGATGAAAAAAATACAGTAAAAACAGAATGCTAAATTACAAACTAATATAATTTTTGTATTTCAAAACATTTAAAAAAATAATTTATTATTTGTTTAAATATAAAGCCGTTCTAATGCTCTAAAGATTTGGTGCTCAAGAAACATTTCTTTCTATCAATAGTTCTGCCAATTTATTTTTGTGGAAACCATGACAATAGAACATTCAGAAGTACAGCATTTGTTTAAAATAGAAATGTTTTGTAACATAGTATTTTTATTTATTTATTTTTTTTTTTAAAGAGCTCAGGTCATTTATACAAAAATACCAGTGCATATGCTCTACCCGCCAGGCACTTCGACATAATTAAATCAGCATTTTTAGATTTTTAAGTCCAGTTCTTGAGCCTGTGAATGTAAAGCTTGTTATATTGTTCTTGTCAGTAATCCAAAACAATGGATTGCTGCTCTTGGACTTTCTAATGGCATTTTGTGATTTCAGCATATTTATGTAAATAATTATGTGTCATATCAAAACACTCAATCATGAATTGTTTCATATTTATTACTTTATCATTTAGTAAAGCTTGTAATGGAATTGTTGTTAGAGAAAATAATTACACTTTGTAAATACTGTATTTTAATTATATTTAATTTACTTACATAAAATTATTATTACAGTATAGAATAAATTAACTGTTTCAGTTCAAATATATTAAATATTTTAATGCTGTGCATGTGTTTGGGTTCATGTACACTGCTGATCTTTCCGTAGCACAAGTCATGTGTTTAGCATGATGCATGCACCACTGAGTGTGTGACGCAAGACCACTAACCCAGTGGCTATGTGTGGAAGAAGATCTAACTAATAGAAGAACTGCTTTGTGATTATAATCAGTTACTCTTCCATTGTGTAATGTCTGTGGAGCCAATTTAACCTGAATAAGTTTTTTCTCGTTTATGTGTGTGTGTGTGTGTGTGTGTGTGTGTGTGTGTGTGTGTGCAGTGGATCTCGTATCTTGCAGCCTGCTCAGGTGTGTGATGTTCTGAAGGGTTTCATCATGGTTCTGTGTTATTTCATGATGCATTATGTGGATTACTCCATGATGTACCACCTGATCCGGGGTCAGTCTGTCATAAAACTCTACATCATCTACAACATGCTGGAGGTACAGTATCACAACACTCACATTTGTTGCTATTATATTAGCAGTAGTTGAATGAACACTCTCTGTTTCTCCTCTAGGTGGCAGATCGCTTGTTTTCATCTTTCGGTCAGGATATTCTGGATGCTTTGTACTGGACTGCCACTGAACCTAAAGAGAGAAAAAGAGCTCATATAGGAGTCATCCCACACTTCTTCATGGCTGTTCTCTACGTCTGTATCCTTCACACTTGCTTTGTTTCAAATGCCAAATAGTCATATTTAGATGTAAATAAAGATTGTTTTATATAGATTTGAATAATTAAATATTCAAACTAAGAATTTAAAGAAATAAAATGATAATTTATCATATTTTTGCATATATTTAGTATAATGTGTGAGTAAAATTAATACTAAAAATGAATACACTAATAAATACAAAACTAAAAATTGTGTTACTTAAACTCTACAGCTTCAAGCTCTGCATGAAATCTATTTAACTACACTGAAACTGCTCAGTTGTATTTATTAATTGTTTTATTATTTAATTTAAATTCAAGTGTTGTGTCATATTTGATGTATTACAATCAGTCATGGGTTATAACTTTCCTTAATTAATAATCCAGTTCTACATGCCATTCTGATTATGGTCCAGGCCACCACTCTGAACGTGGCTTTCAATTCACACAACAAGTCACTGCTCACCATTATGATGTCTAATAATGTGAGTACAAGCAAACTACCTTGACAGTAACATTGATGGCTTTGGTTAATTTATTTGGTTAAATTAAATACATTACAAATGACCTTAATTTCTTCATCTTAGTTGCTGTATATTACCTTAAATGAAGGAACACACTTTCATGCCTCCTTTTGTGGGGTTTATATTGATGTATGTTTTTTTTTCTCTATATAGTTTGTTGAGATCAAAGGAAGTGTATTCAAGAAATCTGAGAAAAACAACCTCTTCCAAATGTCCAACAGTGGTAGGTCCATATATATATACTGTATATATATACATACATACATACATACATAAATATGTATGTAATATTTGTGTGTGTACTGTGTATACAGACACAGTATATATTTTGAAAATATTTACATTTATTTACATGTATATATTTATATTTATATAAATATATTTAATATAGAAATATAACATATTTTTCTTAAATATATGCATACATAATAAATATACACAGTACACACACTTATATTATGTAAACAAACTTTTATTTTGGATGCGATTAATCATATATCAGTGGCGTTCCGTCCATATAAGCTGCGAATGCTCCGCATACCCAGGCCTTTTGAGAGAATAAGTTCACGGGATAATTCATATAAACATGATTATAAGTTGATCTCTTGTCATTTGAAATGTAACTTAAAGCTTAAAGAGTTAGGAATAAGTACGTACAAAGATTTATTTGCCAAACAGCAGTAATTTTCTTTAAATCTACCATTTGCGGTTGCTTCCGGGCGAGCAGATTCTCCGCAGCTTTCTCGCCTCCGCTCTATTGCTATCGTCAGGATTGTAGCGCATTCTCAGTGATTTGCTGGGCTGCGGCTGATTTCATGCGCGAGGTAAGCTGTCCACGAAGCGCTCACCCAAGTGGAAAAATGTGCTGATCCTGTCAGATATCGATTGCCGAAAATCACATTGTGTTTGCTTGAGAAAACAAAAATATAGAGTTACAGTGTTTTTTTTTCTTTTGATTTAGTTGAATTGGTTTTTGCATCAAAGCAAATTTTAAATGATCCTGTCAGATCTCGATTGCCGAAAATCACATTGTGTTTGATGCAAAACCAACTCGACTAAATCAAAAGAAAAAAAACGCATACATATTTTTGTTTTCTCAAGCAAAGCAAATTTTAAAAGTCCACTGAAAACATATCGTCTTACATTTTTGGTCATAGACAACGTATGTTGAAGATATACGTTACTGCCTAAGCGGTAAATAAAAAAAAAATGTTTATAAAAACGTGGGCTATATAAAATTTGAATAATAACAAACATCATATTGTTCCCTTTGTTTTGCATATGCTCGTGTCGCTTACAGTTAAAATCCTTCTCTGATTTTATTATTGTTAGCGTTACTTTGCAATATTTTAAATATTTTTTAAAATATGTTATTGGAGTAGTGTCACCCGGGTGGGAATTTTAACTCCTATTCACTGGGAATAAAAAAAATCATTTAGCAGATGCAGAGACATATAGACCAAGGGAATCCCCCCCATCTCCCCATCCTCTGATTACATATCATAACGTAACTACGTGTAAACGTTATTTGGCGGTTTTTACTTGGAAAACCAGCTATATATTTCTTGCATTCGAATAATAGATAAACTTGAAACGATAGAAGAAGGATTGGAGATGAATTTAATTTACAAATAAGGTAGGAAATGTGCATACTTTTAAATCGACACCACGGTGTTTGTCATCTGTGATCCCTTTTGAGTGTCCTAAAATTCGATGGTGGGGGGTGGGGATGGGGTCTTATCACTCAGCATACCCGGTTAAAAAAGTAACCGCTCGCCACTGATATATATATATATAATGAAAACATGTCTATCTCAAATTGTCACTGATGAATTGTCTCACTGTTCCTTTCTGTATTTCTCACTATAGACATTAAAGAAAGATTTACAAACTACACACTCTTACTAATCGTCTGTCTCAGAAACATGGAGCAGTTCTCCTGGAATCCAGGTATCCTGTTAACAACTGACTCATTTCCGAGTTTGTGCATATACATGACATTGATGTGTGTATTAATCATTGTTTATTGGTTATAGATCATCTATGGGTATTGTTTCCTGATGTTTGTATGGTGATAGCCTCAGAGATTGCAGTGGATGTTGTCAAACATGCCTTCATCACAAAGTTTAATGACATTACAGCAGATGTGAGTTCAAGTTATTGTTGTATTCTTCAAAAGGTAGTATTGTAGCTACAATATTTGAGTAACTACCATAATATGTATTGTACCAGTATTATTAGCTGAACCAAAATGTTGAAATTTTGTAGTTACATTTACACTACTGATCAAAAGTTTGGCATATTGATAAAAAAATAGTAAATACTGTAATATTGTGAAATATTATTACAGTTTAAAATAACTGTTTTCTATTTCTATTAGTATTTAGATTTTTTTGTGTAATATTAAACAAAATTAAATAACATAAATAATAATATTTAAAAATATAAAATTAAATAACAAAACCTAAAAGTACAAAAATACACACTACTTCCTGTCTGAGCTATAAATTTTCTGTTAAGATATTGAGACAACTTTAGTTCAAATATGAACTAAATATGAACAACATCAAATGAACTAAAAATGAAATCCTGTAACCTGAATGCAGTAGTGATTGTGGGCTTAGTATAAAGGGAAGGTTTGTAAGCTATACCTGATGCTATTGAAATGACAAGACACTAATATACTTTTATCTAGAATAAACTAAAGAAAAACAACTTGAGAACTATGACATGACCTTTAAACCAAAGGGCTTCCCCATTCTGGAATGTTCTTTCTTGTATAAAAAAGAAAATAAAAACAGTCCCAGTCAAGAGGAAGTCTTTACAAAGAGAGACAGGTTTCCTTTGGGAGTGTGTCTGAAAATCAGCACCGCTCTGTGTCTTGGATAACCCTGACAGATCCACTGACCCAAATCTATCAGCACACACAGAGCCAGCAGTGGAACTCTCTTTAGCAGTGGGGATGGTTTCACAAATTCTGTCCAGTGCAGGGCACCTCTACTGTTGACATACTCATAAGATGAAAGATAAGTGACACTTCAAACAAAACGGTCCTTAAATATGGTTCTGAAAGAGGCAAAAGAGAGGGAAAAGATGAAAAAATAGGGGCAGAGCAGGCAAAAAACACTGTGGATGGGGGGTAGAGAGATATGTAATGACAGAAAGAGGAGTGTAGTTACTGGCAGGGATTAGAGACAGATCTGCTTAGTTTAGGCAGGAAGATTAGTGTCACAGCACACACATGCACACAGTTCTCTCTCTCGTACAGTATCTTTCCTAGAGGTGGATGCTAGGAATTTTTTTTTGATAATTTCTAGCAATTTTACCATATTCAATATGCATCTTAATATGAATTAAATTGTTTATTAAATTATTATTTTTTTAAATTCAGAACCAGAATTTCTACCAAACTCTAATTCTCATTAAGTACACTACTGTTTAAATGTTTGTGGTCAGTAAGATTTTTTATTTTTAAAGAAGTTCAGCAAGGGTGCATGAAATTGATCAATAGTGACATTTGTAATTTAACAAAATAATTATTTTTGAAATAAACACTGTTCTGTTGAACTTTCCGTTCATCAAATAATGATGAAAAAATGTTTTTGATTGTCCTGTGAGGAAGAGGAAGATGTTGCATGACATTTTTGCTGGTGATGATGAGTAAAAAAAGGTCTTTGTGTTTAAAGGGTTAGTTCACCCAAAAATGAAAATTAGTCCATGAATTACTCACTCTCAAGTAGGGCTGGGCGATATAGCTAAAAAATTTATCAATGATATAATGTTTCACATCGTTCGGTATTGATAATTATTGACATTTTTTTATGACCTTTTTTTAAAACAAAGAGTAATAGAAAAAATGTTTAAATTTAACCACTGTATTTTTAAATTAACAATTTATTGAGACAAACAACAAATATTTTTTGTTTTAACAATCAAACACAAAATAAAAATTAAACAAATATCTTATTTCTAATGTTTTATATGCAGATTAAATAGGTCTTAATGAAACTTTTGTCTTGTCTCCCGAGGCCACAGGAGGGCGCAATGAGCAGAATAATGCAGCGCATTTAAATTGTCAACGCAAGGAAGTAACTCTATAAAAAACGTGCATTACGTCTAAATTAACTTTAGAAAAATGTTATTTTAAATTTCGTAAATTGCATAAACAATTATGAACAAAACAGCATCATGTATTTATGCATTGCTTAATCCAAAGAGCCGAAGCGCCATTCACACAGATTGCATTTAAAAGCATATGCACAACGTTGACCTCATACGTCTTCCTTCCGGAGCTGCTTCCGTGTACAACTGTTGGGGCAAGCTAGATTAAAGTGATTATTACATTTTGAATATAGATATTTTTATTACAAAAACGCATCGATTCGTTACAGGAGGCCTTTGTTCATCCCCCGGAGCCGTGTGAGGCAGTTTTTATTATGAATGGATGCACTTTATTTCACTTCTTTTGGACTGATGCACTGCAACACCCGCTGACTGCCATTAAACAGCTTGAAAGATCAAAGACAATTTTTAATATAACTCTGACTGGATTCGTCTGAAAGAAGAAAGTCATATACACCTAGGATGCCTTGTGGGCTAATTTTCATTTTTGGGTGAACTAACCCTTTAAGCTGTTCCACAGCTCGGGCTGATGGCTGCAGCCTCAACAGTATGTCAGCTAGGCCTGTTTCTTATGTGGCCACTGCAGCTCTGGCTAAAAACCTGTGTCAAATTTCATGCTTGGTACACGGGTCTATTGTGCATCTTTGTGACACGTGAATGCCTGGATGTTATATCTCCCTTGAAAAGCACAGCTCTGTGTGAACTGGGCGTGATAATGGGACAGATTTTCAGATGAAATATCTATCACGATGGATGCATCAAGCATGGGCTGGGGAGCCCTTTGCGATTCTGTCAAGGGCAGGAGGATAGTCCTCGAGGAGTGGAGATTACATTTTAAGAAGTGGATATGATATGGAACATATTCAAAGCAGCAGAGGTCAATTTTTAGCATCAGCAGATAACACTCATTTTCCGCTGTTATTCTCCTTCACGCAGTCAATTCTAAAGGTCATTGCACACTGAGTCCGAAATTTTCGCATGTTAAAAAATAAATACGACCTCACGTTGTGTCAATCACGTTTACACACTGCCTCCGAAACTTTCGTCCATCATAAAAAAAAATTCAGATCGGGTTCGATTTTGCATCCGTAGCAAGCATTTTTAGAGGTGTTTTGACAACTCGGAGCCACAGTAGAAATGAAAGCCAAAATGGTATGCTGGTTTCAATGCCTTGCGCGCACCTTTCCGATGCCACAGTTTGGTGCGTGTGTGTCCATACCTTTGGCATACTGCCAGACTCTGTTCAGGATCAGTTGGTTCACGGAAATTGGTGGTCTTCTTTTAAATATGTGACTCTAGTATTGCTACCAAAGCATCAAAATCCTGTAGTAAACTGAATCGCTTGGGATAATCCCGCAGCTCCTTGATGAGCTTGAACTCTCTTTCCTCTCTACGCAATCTCAGCATTAGATGGACCCAATATTTCCTCTTTCTATGACAAAAAAATCATTCTCACTGCTTGAAGACTCCATTTTGTATTGTTTTGCACATTTTTTCACAACAGATTAATTAATACGCATCGGACTCAGTGTGCAAGGTTTCTGTGCGTGACGTATTTTTAGGATGACGAATATGAAAAAACACATACGAAAATTTTGGATTCATTGTGTAAAGACCTTAAGTATGCGTTCCCACCAGTAAAATTCTTACATCAAGTAGTGTGCAAGATCAGGGAGAAGAGGGAATCTATTTTGTTGGGCTATTCCACTGAGAGACCTACTGTCACAAGCGGGGTGCTCAATCTGGCACTCCACACAGAGTTGTGGAATTTGCATTTTTGGCCGTTCAGTAGAGCACACCAGTATCAGATCCACTTCTGCAATGCATGTTGAGTACTATTACTGAGGCAAGAGCCCCTTCTATGGGGTGCTTCTATGCCCATAAATGGAGAGTCTTCAAGAGCTTGCGTGAAGCAGACCCTGTGAATGGTCCATTATCAGTTATTATGTCTTTTCTACAAGAGCACTTAGATGGTGGCCATGCTTCTATGCTTAAAATGTATGTAGCCACTATAACTATAACTTTTCATGGTGAAATTGATAATCATCCGGTAAGAATGTTTTGGTGATTAAATTCTTGAGAAGTGCAAGAAGCTGAATCCTGCCTACCCTTCCATGGTACCAACTTGAGATCTAGCTCTGGTCCTGAGAGATCTAACAGGCCCTCCATGAACCTTGAACACGCTCTCCCTTAAGACAGTTCTCTTACTTGCACTCGCATCAGGTATAAGTGAGTTGAGGATGTGCACGCTTTATCAGTTCATGAATCCTGCATGCAGTTTGGCCCAGGTCACTGCAGAGTTAAATAAAGGTGCTCTTAATGCTATTCAGAGCCCAGGTTATAACTTTGTTTGTTCTCTCTCCAAAAGAGCCAGCCACAGGAGATACTATTTTTTGCAGTTACTATGTCCTGTATGCGCATTGCGTGTTTATTTTGAGCACTCTAGGCCCTTTAGAGCAGCTTTTTGTGTGCTTTGGCAGCCACACTAAAGGCCAGCCTGTTTTAAAGCTGAGACTGGATTGTTGATGTGATAGCTCTATCTTACAGCTCTCAAAGCTCTAAATGTCCTTTAGGGGGTTGAGCCCACTCCACACAAGGTATGGCTTCCTCTTGGGCACAGGAGGACATCTGCTTAGCAGCTGGATGGATTTTGCCGAATACTTTTGCCAGATTTTACAATCTGGGTGTTTCTTTGCTATCATCTCGAGTTCTGTCAGTACAGGAGAGCTAGCTTTTTGTGGCCGAGGTTATGTCTAAAGCTGTTCTGTCACACATTTGCTTTATTCTTAGAGCCTGTTTACATCTGGTCACATTAGATAGCTATCCGATTTTGAAAAGACCAGGTGTAAATGCCTTCCGAAATGCTAATATATATATTAGGCTATTATGTAGTATTATAATAGCATTAAATAGTGGTTAAACGCATTATATTGTGTTTTTTTTAGTCACAGATCGGACAATTTTTTTGGGATAAGCAAGAAAAAAAATATTTAAAGCACAGAGAATGACCACTCCTAATATGTGACAGATAAGAGCAATCTTTCATTTACTTATTTAACATGAAATTGTCAGATTGCTACTCCATATCAATCACATACAAAGAAAATACAGAATAATTAGAACAATCATTAACATAAATAAATAACAGAGTGTCATATCTATGCACATTTTTCCCAGAACGTTCTTGTGACCCGGTAGCAATTCTTCCACGGCCCGGTAGTGGGTTGCGACCCGGTGGTTGGGGACCTCTGGGCGATACGATATGTTATAGTCAGATATGACAGTGCTAATTAAACCAGGTCTCACAGATATCACTATTAAATATCCTATAACACCAGCAGGGCTGCTGTCACTACTCTTTACTTGTAGATATGTGGTGCTACTGATGCTTGTGCAATATGTCTTTCAAATGAAGAACGAGTATCATGTACCTGGAAATATTCCATGTCTTCCCTCCATTTGCTGTATGTTGAGTGGGACATTTGCAGTAGCATGGTAGGACTTTTGCACAATACCCGTAGTGTCAGCTACTGACGCAATGTTGAGTAAACCAATATCCAATATCATTCCCTCATCTCAGGAAACTGAGGTTACGCTAGAATGGAGATGTTTTCAAAACTGAAAATAATAAATAATGAGAAATGTTTCCTGAGCACCAAATCAACATATAACAATGAAAATTCAGCTTTGTCATCACAGGAATAATTTACATTTTAAAATATGTTAAAATATAAATAATTTTTCTATTAAAATAAATAATAATATTTAACAATATTACTGTTACATACAATATAACTGTATTTTTAATCACATAAATGCAGCTTTAGTGAGCATTAAAGACTTTTTCCAAAAACAAACAAACAAAAAAATTGGAATAGTAGTGTAGATTCACGTTTTATACTCACGTTTAATACTCAAGGCTCGTTTTTCCCTCTATATTTCATTAAATGAACAAAAGTAAGAATGATATCTAATCATTTCATTTATATGCACTGTTATAAAAATAACAAGCCATAAGCAATATTTACATTTTTTTTTTACATTTTATTATATATAAAATGCCACACAGAGACCTCAGTAAACTTTTTTAGCGATGACACAAGTCGTTGAATCATAGTTATAAATCGATCTATTGAATGGGCATTGATTTGAATTCATTCACAAAAGTGAATTAGACTTAGCAAATATTTTTGCTACTAAAGTTTAATTCAGAGACTATTAAAAGTGATGAGACAGGGAAGTATTGTGAATCTATTTGTCCTACACCAGCCAATGGCAAAAGAACGTGGTTATGTAAAGCTGCTTGACCCTCTGACATTAATTAACTTTGTCAGTCTGTCAGTTAGTCAGGTCTTAGTGAAGAAAAGATTATTTATTATAAGATAAGTGTTTTCTGCACCACCATGTGAGTTTACAGTCTGAATTGAATCTCATGAGCTAAAAGGGCCAGGACCACAAACATACAGTGCAATCTGAGTAGTCCGTTACATGAATGACTCTTATGAACTGGCTCTTTAATTAATTATTCGAAAAGACTCTTAAACACTTGAGTTTTTTTGATGGAATCATGCTAATGAATCTTTCACTGAATCTTTTAGTTTACTAATTTAATATTTGACTCTTGAATTACTGAACCGCAAGTCATCATTACTTGTAACTGTGTGTGTGCGCAGGTCTATAGTGAATACAGAGCGAGCTTGGCATTTGATCTGGTCAGCAGCAGACAGAAGAATGTAAGTGCATGTTCATTTTATCATATCAGAAATCCTTTTGAAGCAAGAATCGATAATAAAGCAATAATCGTCTGAACGTTTGTCAAATTATGTATCAAAATGATTTTAATTTCAACAAATGATTCATGGTTCTAATTACATGGACTTAATTTGAAGAGCATTTTGTCTAGCTTTATTAATAAGATGCTGATATTTGTGTGCATTTTCCAGGCATACACCGACTACAGTGACAGTGTGTCTAGGCGGATGGGCTTCATTCCTCTTCCTCTTGCTCTACTGGTAACCTCCCTCCTTATTTCATAATAATCACAATACTAAATCTATCATACAGTACAAAGTAAAAGCAGAAACATAAATCCATTGTTTGCAATAATTTGGAATTTGTCATTTTGCTCCACTGCTCTTGTTAACATGCATTACTGTTCTATTTAACAATTTAAAGGGTTAGTTCACCCCAAAATGAAAATTCTGTCATTACCAAACCTGTAAGACCTTCATTCATCTTCAGAACACAAATTAAGATATTTTTGATGAAAAAAGTGGCTCAACTTCAGTTTTGCGAAGCTACAAGAATACTTTTTGAGCGCAAAGAAAACAAAAATAACATAATTTATTTAACAATTCTTCTCCCCCGAGTTATGTCTTCTGCCATTTTGGAGAGTACCCAAGAACGTAATCGGCATTGTTTAGGTTAGGGGGAAAGCGCGCGCATGAACGTAATCGGCGTAATCAGTGTTGTTTACACTTAGTGTAAAGCGTGCGTATGCGTTGTGATACTCTCCAAAATGGCAGAAGACGTAACTCGGGAGAGAAGAATTGTTGAATAAAGTCATCATTTTTGTTTTCTTTGCGCACAAAAAGTATTCTCGTAGCTTCGCAAAATTGAAGTTGAGCCACTGATGTCACATGGACTGTTTTACCGATGTCTTTGCTACGTTTCTGGACTTGGGAACATTTCAGTTGTGTTGCTGTCTATGGGAGGGTCAGACAGCTCTCAGATTCCATCAAAAATATCTTAATTTGTGTTCCGAAGTTGAACGGAGGTCTTACGGGTTTTGAACAACATGAGGGTGAGTAATTAATGACAGAATTTTCATTTTGGGGTGAACTAACCCTTTAAAGTGACTGTTAGACTGACAGCTGACATTTATTTACATTAGCTATATTTTTCAAAACTTCTAAAGCCATTTACCATGAAGGAACTGTGATGTGTAGTAACGTGGTATTACAGTTATACTCATGTAGTATGTGATTGACAGTTGATCTGGGTGGTGACCAGCTCAGTGAAGATCCAGGGCTCTCTGTCCATTGTTTGTGTTGTGCTCTTCTACCTGGGGTACGAGTTCACATTTTTTTAATAAACTTTTTGGTAACACTTTAGTATAGGGACCAATTCTCACTATTAACCAGTTGCTTATTAGCATGCCTGTTATTAACACATTGGCTGTTTACTAGTACTTATAAAGCACATATTCTGCATGAACATATTCTACATCCCTAATTCTACCCAAACAACTACTAACAACTACTTTACTAACTATTAAAAAGCAGCAAATTATGAGTATGGGGCAAAAGTTGTAGTTAATGGTTTGTTAATGGCGAGAATTAGACCTTAAAATAAAGTATGACCAACTTTTTTTATTTTCAAGTTTGGCATCGCTGTGATTTTTCTTTAAAGAAATGTATACTTTTACTCAGCAGGGCTATATTAAAATAATTTAAAATGACAGTAAAGACATTTATAATGATGGAAATGATTTCTGTTTCAAATAGGGCTGTGCAATTAATCGCATGCGATTGTCATGCGCATCT